CATAAAGTTATTTAAAACAGACTAGAGTATATTAAAACGTTAATTAATCTGAACAAACAGATTCCCTTACACGTTGTGTTACCAAGTTGACTCCCTTAACACAGCAAACAATCGGTCATACTTCTTTCCGAAACATTGAGACAAGGTTGCATATGCACATAAGCATCCCATCTCGATGAGTTCAAAACCACCTTCGGCAAATGTATACATGAACAAATTAAAAGAAATCTTCAAGATGTCACCGCTACAACCACCAGCACTCATGCGGTACCTGGACGATTACTTTGCACTATGGAAAATACGGAATAGTTTCTGAAGTTTACAAGCCAGATTGATGCAAAAATTAAATTTACGTTGGAAGTAGAGGAAAGTGAACGGTTACCTTTCATGCTAGTTGAAGTGATTCGCCCTAATGGGACGCTCAAGAACTAAGTTGTACAGAAAGAAGTCTTATGCCGGAATAATATTCAATTTCCATTCATATCGCGTCTACAGGCTAAAAATAGGAATAATGACGAGCATGACCATCAGAAGCCTACGTTTAATGGATGTGAAATTCTGGGATGAAAAATCGGACAAATTGACTAAGATATCTCTCAGCAACTGTTACTTAGCAAAATATTACAAAGAAGCGTACGGACTGTGAAAACTCGAACACATCGCACAGATAGGATACGAGATCACTTGGAAGGCAACTGAAAGAAGGGCCTCATACGGTGAAAATACAAGGAAGCAGAAGATTAGGTAGGCCATTGACATACTTGGGGAGTTAACGATAACTTTGCTTATTGTTAAGCTAACTTGGGAAAACAAGAATATAGTAACACCAGTAAAAAGAAGACGCCCGGATCAAGGATCTATCACTAACTGGGGGAAAATGGGGGGTGAATTTCGGAAATCAACCTAAGACGTTATTTTTGAGTGATGTCTGTTCGAAGAAACCAGTACAACTTTAAAGGGCCTGAAAGTCATGGAACTAGGCAGACGGATAAGCACAGAATTCGGCATTATGGCCAAAATTCACTTAAGATGCCACAGGTGGCCAGGGCTATGAGTAGGCTTCCACCGTTTGCTCAGGTAACCCGGGTTTAATTAAGGAGACGACCAATGAAGGAAATGCCCATTATCTGCAATCATGGGAATCAGAATTTAGGCGCTCTGCACGGTGAGGTGGCAGTGTACGTGCTTCTAAAGCTTTGAGAAATAGCGCCTAGAGTAAAACGCACACTGGGACTGGAACCGAGTGAAATTAGTCAACCAGAAGGATAAGAAACGGATATACGGGATCATGAGGGAGATCCGGATAGGAGGCCCAAGACGGATTAGTTGATCGGCCAAGGTGAATAGCAGATGTGTAGGCCACGGTAAATTTGCCAAAAACGGGCACACGAGTGGAATGTAAACAAGTCAGAAGTTGTGATAGGGTGGGAATTGGATAAGAGAGTAAAGAGTAGTTATATGGACCAGAAAGAGGTGTGATTATGTAACCGTTTCGACAGAACGTTTGTCGAGGGATTGACTTCACCATCCCTTTGACGAGTTCATAGCTTGGTGTAAAGAATGGCAGGACTCACTGACGATGTCGGCGAAACGTCTGATAATCTACCAAGTCCACGGTATGGTGCTGGGACTTATTATAACTCCTATGACAGAGTACTTCGGACAAGGTGTGTTGCCTAAGTCGCACTGACAACATGACCTATTTCTGAAGATCAAAATGAGACTGCGACCATACTAAGGGCTACACCATCTTGGTATTCATATCTTCGATCAACCTTATTTATTTTTGAGTTACTCTTTCAACTAGCTACAACTGGTGACCTGGTTTAAGGCAAGTGCTATAGCTACAAACCAGGCTTTGGTGAAAAAATGAAGCCAGATTCGATTGACCGTAGATGAGTATAAGGTAAGGATAAAGCATTACCTGACCAGAATGAAAAGATGTGCCCTGGACACAAGCGCACGTACATGACGCAACAGGAAACCAGGCGAGTGGACAAGCTCTGTATATTCCGCAGACAGGTGTGACTTTATATTAAACTGAAATGTGCACCCTGCTAGATGAGTTGTCTGCTCTGCTCCCACCATTGGAGGCACAATTACACGACGCGTATTATCATGATTAAATACATGGTTCACAAGGAGGGTGTACCTCCTAGATTAATTGTAAATAATAAAGGAAGCTTGATGAATAAAATCTCGTGTTTTTATGCATAAAGCTAAGGAAAACTGCCCATTTTTGGCTATATTCAGTTAAAATTAATTGATCAGCAAATAACTTCAGAAGACGATGGGCTAATAAGTTTTGATGTTGTGTCTATGTTGAAAAGCATTCCTGTTTAAGGAGCTATTCAGGCCATAATACAAACTCTGGAGGAACATCCAGAGATTACAAAAGGAATAAGGCTAAGCGTAGCGACTATAGATAGGCTTCTTAACCTATCCGTGAGTAGCACCCATTTTACATTTGATGGTTATGTGGGCAAACACAAGGGCTTGCGATTGAATCTCGCCTAGGTCCCATGTTGGCGAACAAAATTATATGGCAAGACTTGAGGAACATCTCCTGGCAGAGGGAAGACTAACTCTCAAATTGTTTGTTAGATATAAGGATTAGTATTTTGTCATATGGCCTCATGGTAAGGAAAACCAAGGCAGTTTCCTACTTCCATTTAACCAATGTGAAAGGAGCATTAGGTTCACAATGGAAATGGGAAAGAATAGGTCCTTACCCAATTGGATGTTCTCATCATTGGGGAAGAGGGCAAGTTAGGAAGAGATGCTTATATGAAGCCTTTTTTTAATTTTCTTTCCAACCATAGTGACAAAACTAAGGTTGAAAATTTGAAGTCAATAATTATTAGGAGTATGAAGTTAGCGGATAGCAACCATTTGACTAAAGATTTGAAACGACTGACAAATTAATTCCTGGAAAATAATTACCCTTTGGGCCAAATTGAAAATGATATATAGTTACAGAGAAATATACATTCAAACGGACACTATTTAGTCAAATAGAGACAAGCTGAGACCGTTTCTCATGTCCTAATTTTGTTTTCATGCCTCCTTTTTAAGAAAATAGGCGAGTTAGTGAGGAAGTGGGAGATAAAAATAGCGTTTAAAAAAACCCTCACGCTTTCTTCTGTTATGCCATCTTTAAGAGAGAAATACGACTCATTGATATCCGTCGGTTACAATATTGTGTGCTCCTGTGGTCGACCTTGTGTTGGTGAGGCATGCCGGTCTATTCGACAAATATTGGGGGAACACAAAAATGCTTGTAAAGGAAGCTGAGTCCAACGGTTAGAAGTGGCCGAACACATCGCATGAGATAGAATTGTCTCAAGCCAGTAGATTCGCTGACTAAGGTACGTCTGCTGTTAAAAGGAAGATAAGAGAAGCTTTTGAAATTACTATATTAGAGAATAGGGTGAATGTGAGGGATGATGGTAGAAAGTTGAGTAGAAACTATTCATGCTTGATCGATAGATTAAAGGAGGGAGGGTGTTGAGCCGCCATCCAAAAGAAGGCGACTCAACTTATCTGCTCAGTGATGTCCGTCTTAAGATGGACAAAAGCCTAGGGTAATTAAGGTTTAACCACTCAATGAAATACCTGTCTGGGGCTGCCTAACCTCGTACGTCGGGTTTGTTTGATGAGCTTACTCTAAAATGCTGGACGAATGTTGACACATGGTTACTGGAACTAGCTGTCTTTACAAGCAATTTTGTGTTCCCCTAAGCTTTGTCAATAGGTCGACATCTTTTCTTAACATAAGGTCAATCAACGGAACACACAATCTTTTAGAAGCCGGATCTTGATAATAGATCATATTTCTTTCTAAAAGATGGTATATCCGAAGAGAATACGATGGATTGTTTAAACATCGTCTACATCCCCTTTTTCTTCCCAGTTCACCTATTTTCTTAGAAAGAAGGCATGACAACAAAGCTAGGACTTGAAAAAAGGTCTCAGCTGATCTATCTTTGACTAAATAGTCATCGTCCGATATTATTCTCAATCAGGCCGGAAATGATGATTATTTTCCATGAATAAATATTCCAGTCTTCCCTATCCTTTAGTCACATGTTTATTATCCGCAGGTCTCCTATTCCTAAAAATTATAGAAGTAAAGATTCAAACCTCAGTTTTTTAGCTATAGTTGGAAAGATAATTCAGTAAAGAGTCAAGATATCATAGCTTCTTATAAACGGCTCTGACATAGTCACCCTTTTCTCTAACGACCAGAGCATCCAAAAGAGGTAAAGACCTATTTTCTTACATTCCTTTTGTCAACCTAATGTTCCTGTCACGTTCGTTAAGTGAAAGTGGGAAACTATTCTAGCTTTCTTGAGGCCACATCAGAAAATAGTATTCCATATATCTAACAAACAATTTAGGGGTTAGTATTACCTCTTCCGAAGAGCTCCCCTCAGGTTTAGTCATATAGTTGTTCGCCAAGCTGGGAGCTAAGCAAGCTCATATCGCAAGTTCTTGTATCTGCCCATAGAACATATCATCAAAGGTGAAATAGGTGCTACTCATGAATAGGAAAAGAGGTCTACGTAAGAAGACTATATTTAGCATTGTTCCTTGTGTGACCTCTGGATGATCCTTCTAAGTTTTTATATTTGTGAACATAGACACAACATTAAAAATAGCACACCTATCCTTCTATGCAATTATCTTCTGATCAACCAATTTTTCAAACTCATAATAATTTTCAACTGAATATAACCAAAAATCAGCAGCCTTTCGTGGATGTATGCATAAAAAATGTGAGATTTTATGCATCACGCTTCCTTTATTATTTAAAATTAATCTATTAGGGAGCACCTCCCTGTGAACCTTAGGAAAACAGTAAACCATAGAGGCCGTTGTATCTCTCTGGAGTAGCCTATTCATTTACCACTTCTTCACTTTACCAGTACTTACGCCGACCTTATGGCATCCTTAAAACTATGCAGAAAAACCGGGTTTCGAAGAATCCCTTAATAGATTCATGTTGGAGTACATTTCATTTCGTTTGAAGAGAAGAGTGGAAGTGATTCGTAAGTTGGCTCCACATGGAAAGGAAAACCTGGCGAATTTTCTTGGACTGATGAAGAGGATAGATGGGAAGACGAAATTCACCCTCGAGTTAGAGAAGGAAGCTGGTTTACCTTTTTATGATGTCAAAATTAGTAGAGGGGATCAGATTAGGTCGAGATGTGTATATGAAACCCACAAATGCAGGTTTCATTTTGAAATTCTTCTCCAACCACACCTATGGGGTTAAGGTAGGAGTTATGAAGTCTATTATAATAAGGAGCCTGCGTCTGGCAGATGTTAAACATCGGGACCAGGAACTGAGAAGACTAAGACTAGATAAAAAGATAGATCACTTCATCAGAATCCTTATGCTGTCATCATGCAATCTGTCGAAGAAGATAGACGAATTACTGAAGAGTTGGAACATCAGGACCATTTATAAAGAGAAAATAACACTGTCCTCGGTATTGCTTCCTTTTCGAAAATACTCTGACCCACTTTAGATCGAGCCGTTACAAGATTTTGTGTTCATGTGGTAGTGCCTATATGGGAAAGACCTGTATACCCATACGAGAGAGGTTGTTCGAACACAAAACAGCCTGCAAGGGAATGTGAGTCCAAAAATCAAAATCGGCCGAACACGGCTCGCACAGGACACCAGATAGATTGGTCTAATGTCAAACGCTTTGCTGGATATGGAGACTATGCCAGTAAGCGAAAGATTGGGGAGGCCAAAGAAATCAACATAGTGGCCAACACCCTGAATGGAAGTAATGAGTGTAGGAAGTTAGGCGGAAACTACTTGCGACTGTTGGATAGGTTTAGAGACAGAGAGTGGGGGGGACGAGAAGTACCACCTAGCAAGAGGAGGAAGCTTGATTAGGCTGAAATTTGGTTTTGACTGTCATATCACACTCATTTTAAGAGCAATGCACCCACACAACACGTGTGCAATGGGACGCAACCACATGCTGTAACATTACAGGATCAAAGACATAAGTGTTTTGTGGAAGAATGCAGCTGTAGGTTTCAATTGCTCTCAGTTCACGCTTCATCTGTAGCCACTTCACATGTCAGCCGCAGCCACTTCACTTAATTTATGAGCAAAGATAGAGGCAAAGCATAGGACATCCAACCAAAACTTGAGATGCATGAGTGGACCAAATTGGAATATAAGAAGGAAGTAGGTTTAGAGCCGGCCACGTTTCTTGCCTTCGTGTCTTTGGTGAATTATCGTTAAGCATGGTGTCCTGCTCCGACGATGTCCGTCACATGACGGACAAAGCTCAGCAGGGACTCGTCGGGGTCGCAGGGCGGTGCGCCGAGGACCTATTCGCACAAATCTACAACCACAGCTCCAAGGTAACCTCCCAGAGCCTCTGGTGGAGCCAACTTACGAATCCCCTCTACTCTTCTCTTTAAACAAAATGAAAGGTATACCAACATGCATCTTTAAAACTAGTCTTAATTTTTTAAGTTGGGCCTTTCATTAAAGACAAGTAACAGTATCATTTCAATGAGTAGAATTTTTCTATATGACTTAACCTAGCCATGATTAACACTGCTCCACTTTCATCGATTTACATATCTGTTAGATTATTGCGACATAAATAATTAGAAGCCCTACTGAAAAGACAAGATTGCGTTGGCGATATTACTGGTCATTGTA